ATGTTTATGATGCCAAAATCAATGAAAACGATTTTAAAAAAAAATAGCAAACCGTGAGACTTGATGAGCGTGATTCTGGATGTTTCAGGCCTTGAGGATGATTGGGATAGCCTCAGAAAATGTCTAGGAGTAGATTGTTGGACTTGAAATTGATTGAATTGGTCTATGGAAGAGAATCCGATCTTCACTTTTTTGACAAAAAATGAAAACTTGGTTCTTGCTCTTGGAGGCCGCTGCGGGTCTGTATTCTCTTTCTCAGGGTTCACGATGATCTTATATATGTATGGAATCAAATTAGGTCATTTTTTTGGCAAGAATCCAAAATATGAATGTGTTTTCAATTTGCTTCCATTCTTTCCAATTGTGTAGATTCTCTCCTTTCATGGCATGGCACGATCTTTCTTGTCTATTGACAGCACATGAGATCTTCATTCAATGCAAAAAACATCCTTAAAACAAATTATGTGATTTGTTTTTATTTTATTTTATTTTATTTGAATTTTAAATGAAGTAAATCACAATAAATTAAATAAATAAGTGAATGAGGCATGGAGTGGTTCATGGGTCATGGACCATGTTAGGAACAAGCTCCAAACTTGAAAAGATAGGCCCATGTGGGAAAAAAATGCAATTTTGAGCATATTTGACTTTTGGAAATTTTGCAAAAATGGTCAACTTTGACAAGGCATATCTCTCCAATTTTAACCCTAGAGAGGTGTTCTTGGACTTTTTAGAAAGCTTAGTATGTCCCCTAAACAACCCTTTTGGTCTCATCTCAATTGGGTCTTCCATGTTCATGTAAGAAGCTTTGACCCAAAAGGTGTTTTTGTTGACTTTTCAAAAGGACCTATAATGTAGAAATTCATATCTTTTGATGAGTGCATATTTTAAACTTGTGGGATGAAGATGAATTATAGGGAATTACATCCTCTTCAAAATGAGCCTTGTATGGAAAGTTTCTAATAAAGTATGAAGAAGTTATGCTTGGTCAAAGTTTAGTTGACTTTTCATGTGAAACCCTAATTTAGCAACTTTTGGGTTTTGATGAATTTGTGGAATTCTTTTAGGAATCATGATCAGACCTTGATAAAATGATGAATACCAATTCAAAATGTTGATGTTGACCAAAAATCTTGAAGTTTGATTGTATGTGGGCCACAATTGACTTTTGACCTAATACAGTTGATTTTCAGGCATCTGGGCAATTGACTGAGCAAACTTCTTGTGCAAGGCATGAAACTTGACATGGATGATCTTGAGAACATATTAGGACCATGGAAAGAATTTGGTACCTTTGGATCTCCCACACCCTGATGAAAATGGAAACCCTAGTTTGAGGTACATTGCCTTAGGAGAGAGTTTGTCTGGTCAACTCTTGGGCATCCTTGAGCAAGTTGGAGACCTCAATGGGCATGTGTTGAATAAAATGAGAGGGCAAATTTTGGGGTACAACAGTTGAGATTTATGAGCTCTTGCTTATGTTCTTGAAGCTTACCAAACAATGTTGTAACATTAAGTTTCGTTAGATTATTAGCTTCCTTAATTTCTGTGACCTTAGGTTGCCATTCCCTGTTAAGACATATCAAAATTTTGTTAGTAGCAACAACATTGGAAGTGGTATGACCAAGTGTATGTAAGCGATTGGTTATATGAGTGAATCTCTTTTACATGTCCGTAATGGTTTCACCATGTTTCATGTGAAAGAGATCAAACTCTTAAGTTAAGGTATTGATTCTAGCTAATTTGATATGAGTAGTTCCCTCATGGGCAACTTGTAGTGAGTCCCACATTGCCTTAGCATCAGCGTAATGAGATACTTTAAAATACTCATCAACACCTAAAGATGATATGAGAATAGTTTTAGCTTTCCAATTATAGCTATAACTTTTCTCATCATTCTCTTCCCAAAGTGCTTCCGGTTTAGGTATGGTGGTACCAGTTCCATTGGTAATGGTTATTGCTATAGGACCATTCTGATGACTTTCCATATTTTTATATCAACATAATTAATATGCACACGCATACAATCTTTCCAATAATTATAATTTTCACCGGTAAAAGTAAGCGCTCTATTGTACGCCCCTTTTGGATCGTTCTTCATTTTCTAAAAAGTTATATGCGAAGCACTAGATAAACTAGGCTCTGATACCACTTGTTAGACGATGAGACGGATATAGAAGGGGGGGTGAATATATCCTTTATTTTAAAAAATATTGCACTTTTAAAATTTGTTTTGAAATGATGCGAAAGCTTCCCGAATCAAAATCGTCTAAATGATCCGTTATTGAAAAGATCGGTTATGAGAAGCCGTATGGAGATCTAATGATGAGAAATGAATCAATACAATTACTTATTAATCAATCACTTTAACAATATCAATGAGTACTTACTACTTCCAATGATCTGTTTAAGATAAAACTTGACAAAATCACAAATTCGCGTGTTAGTCAATTTATCAAACACTTGGTGTGCAAAAACACAACAAGTTCAATTTTGCTTAATTATAGTGATGAATTTTCCTTGATAATAATCAAAGTGATTTCTATGATTATTGTAAACTAAGTTTGAATCACTACAATCACGGTAAAATAAATTGAACAATCAATATCATACAAATTATAACAAACGAAAGTAAATGGATAAGGAAAGAGAAACAACACACGATTTGTTAAGGCATTTCCCATTGTCGTCCTCGTGTAGGGTACGTCTGCCCCAATTATAAAATCTAGAATTGAGATATATGATATTAAGTTGCAAAGTGTTATAAGAGAAGTAATAGTCTTCACTACATATAAACCAATTGTTGATGATGAAACTATTCATTTCTCTGCCCTTGGTTCAAACCAAACCAAGTATGCTAATCTCTTCGAACAAACATCCGATTACCGCTACTTGATTGCATGAACTCTTCGTTCTACAAATCTTTCACTCGGCTAATTTCGATCACAAGAAATTTGACCCAAAATATTTCTTCACAATCCTCCGATTACCGCTACTTGATTGAGCAAACCCACCGTTTCTCAACCCTTTCACTCTGCTGAATTCAATAAAGAAAAGACTTGTGCAAAACCCTCGCACCAAAAGTAATCTTGGAGGAAAAAACCCTAACGGTTTTATTCAAGAAAAAACCACTCAATTCTGAACCCAAATCTGAAATCAATCTTCAATTTGAATGTTATCACCACAACTCTACACTTTAATCAACAAAACTTGTTATGTGTAATTGTTGAGGAATGCAATGAGAGGATGAAGATGATGAGAAGTTGGTGTATATATTTCACTTTTCTTGTTTACTCCAAATGATGAAAGCCAATATATATATATATATATATATATATATATATATATATATATATATATATATATATATATATATATATATATATATATATATATATATATATATATATATATATATATATATATATATATATATATATATATATATATATATATATATATATATATATATATATATATATATATATATATATATATATATATACCAAATAGTCAAAACCTAAAAACATAGCAGAAAATATAGTGCAAGAAGCGAGCGATCGACTCATGCAGGAGTCCCACTCGACGTGAGCATACTCGAGCGTTTTAGGAAGACCTTTGAGAAAGCAATGCGTCAACCGCAATAAGACATGAGTTGACGCAAATAGAAATAATTTTTCTCCCAATGTGAGTCGACTAGAAGGGTCGACGCAAGCAGACCTGAGCTTGATGGAATGATCTTCTTCAATTTATGAGTCGACCTATCTTTAGCTTGAGTCGACGCAAACAGTGAAATTTTTTCTCCCAGTGTGAGTCGACCAGTAGGGTCGACGCAAGCAGACCCGAGCTTAATGGATTGATCTTCGTCAAGCTATGATCGACCTAACTCTAGCTTGAATCGACATAAACATTTTTAAATCTCCCAAAAATGAATGTTTCTAGAGATCTTCATTCCAACCATTTCACTAGCAAGTTTGTCCATAGAACCAACCCAGATCAAGAGCAAAGCAATAAACATTTTGACATCATTAAAAAAAATATAGAAGGACCTTGCCCTCACACCTTTTTGAAAATTTTTCAAAAGAAAAGTCAAATGGCAAAAAAAGTTTTGATTGGTTGAGTATTTTTGTTAGGAGAATATCTCAAACGGTTCTCCAAGACTGGGGGGGGGGGGGGGGGGTATTTAAGTCTTTCTTCCTTTAATTTTTGAAATTGTTTGAGACACGTACTATACTAAAGTCTATGACATGAAGACTCTTGGATGATCGAGTCAGATGCCTCAGATTCGAAGTTCCCTTCATGTACTTAAGGCTCATGATGTATTATATGCATCATATTTATTAGGTGTTTCTGAATTTTGATAAAGAAAAGAGTTTTTGCTTTAAGATGCAATGCAAAAGAAAACAAAAATCTAAGGGAAACTCAAGTCTTAATGTTGTCATGCAATGGTGGTCCTAAAGTCAGAATATCAAAGAGAAAACTATCTAAGATTGTTATCATGCTTAAATTCAAAGTCTAAAATCTATTTAATTCAATTTAATCAAAAGATTAAAATTGAATTAAAAAGCCTAAGAGAACATGACATAAAACAACTAAACAATTATTCAAAATACCAAGAATTAAAATTCTATTCTATTATTTTTGCATTTTATCATGTCAAGAAATGTAAACAAGCATTAAAAGATTCTATTCTAAGCAAGTAACCAAATCAAATAAAAGAGAAATTGCAATGAAAATAAGCCTGGGGTGCAAGCAGAATCCAGAGGCACTGTATAGCAAGCTGATGTTAGGCCCATTGCAGAAGTGACGTCCAATAGTTACTTTTTTGGTATCATAAGTTTGAGGCATAAAAAAAATCAAAACGGGCTTTAGAGGGGGTTCGGTCCAACATCACCACATCCAATCCAAATTTACTTATTGTCACAATTATTATTAATTTGAATTAAAAAAATATAACAAAAAAGAAATTGAAAAGGGATATGGAACGTGTTTGATAAAAATTAGGGTTGAGTTGCTACGATGATTGAACTTCCACGAGCAAAAAATTCTCTTCCCCCTCTTTTATCTCTCAACACAGCCACGGCGCTGCTAAACTCTTCTTCTCCGATCCGCATTTTCCGATGATCCTCCGCCGTAAATCCCCTCCCATCCGGCAATTCCTCCTCACGCCTCCGTTTCGAATCAATCACGGACCTCACCACCTTTGACATTCCGTTCATGATTCGTCTCCGTCCTCAACCTCATTCATCATATCCAAATCGAAATGAACTAACAAACACGACGCGTCTACAACAACGGAGATTGAAGTAAAACTGAATCAAGAAAGAGAGAGCTCAAGCCTTACCTGCCGGAGTCGCTCCAGCGGCTTTCCGACAGTGTCGGTGTTGCAAGAAATCCAGAGAGGCAAACGTATGCGTCTTCGTTCTTTCTTTTCATGTTTTAGCGATTGCGTTTTTCCGATTCAATTTCCTCCTATGTAGATACCGTTACACGCTTTGCGTGGATCAGTGAGGTGGTGCGAAGGTGAAGATTTTGATGTTGCGGTTACGCTGATGCGGAGAAGAAGATAAATTTGTAGATGATTGGATTGAAGGGATGTCGTTGTTGTTTTCATTTTTTGCAGGTTGCTGAAGAAGTGTTGATGTTGGTGATTTTTGATGTTCTGTGGTTTGAAGGTTGATTCACGAGAGATGAGTGATGCAGAAAGAGTATTCCAAAGAGAAGAATGAGAGGATCAAGAAGAGGATTTTCTGGAGTTTGCTTTGAAGAATGATGGAAGGTTTGTGAATGAATCGATGAAGATGAAGAGAGAGAAGAGATAAATTTTCTGAACTTGTTGGTGATTCCGAAGAATCCCCCTGATTTAAGGCAAGTTCTGAATTTATATTCTGTTAGATAGTGAGAGGGTTCGTTAGAGATGGAAGAATGAGAGCCACTGATTTCAGGAGTTGGTTATGGAGTTACAGGGCTAGGATTGATTCAAATTCTGAGTTATTCTTTTGTTTCTGTTATGAGTTTTTCACGGTTTTCAACCTTTCCTCTTTATATTTTCCCTATTCTGATTTTCTCTCTATTCTGATTTTCTGTTATTAAACTGAGCTGTGAAATTAGGAAAATGCTTATTAGTAAGAAAAAGTAAAAACAGGCAAGAATAAATTTCAACCATTCCTTATCACAACCACCCCCATGATCCCTATCAAAAAGGAAATTAAATTTATAATAAATTAAAAATTATCCACTAAATTAATGACACATGTACATTCTTGTATTTCTTGCTCAAATTCTTTCGTACTAAATAGCATTACTCGTGAAATTATTTCTCCCGATTTTCTGTTTCGCAATGAACTGAATGAATTTTTTTTTTTGTAATTTTCTTCTGGTTTTTTCGAAACTGATGCAGGGCGGTTTTATTTTGTGCAGGAATTGGTTCGGTTATTGCAGCAAGTAGGCTTTGGTGTATTTGTTCAATTTGAGATGGTTTTGGTTTAATGCAGGGCACAGATTCGGTTCATGATTGGAAGCAAGGCATGTTCATGAGGACTTGATGAAGAAATTAGGCTTAGGCTTAGCACTTGATTCATGGACTTGATTTATTTGTTTATTTTTTTGTATGATGTAATGTATTAGAAACTTGTAACATGAGATTGTGATAATATTTTGTAATGGAAATATGCTTTTGATGAACTTGTATGTTTGGTAACTTTGAACATAACCACATGGTTTCATGGTATTCCATACTTGCCATGCCATCTTCAAGTACTTCTTTCTTCTTGCAAATGTTCTCAAAACCTTAACCTCTTGACCTCGTAAAGAACGCATGAACAAATGCTTGGAATTATGCCACTTGATTAATTTGGAAATGTTGAATGCATGACATCTTAGCCTTGAAATATGATACATGATGAATTTGTTTTGATTTTGGATGAACCTTGAACAATGATAAGTTTGAATCAAACTTTGCCTATGCTTGAATATATTTGAATAATGATGATGGACTTGAAGTTTAAAATTGAATGAATAATGGATGTATGAAATAAATCTTGTAGTTTTGTTGCTTGCTCTTCATGAAATACAAATAATTTTCAACTTTGAAGACTTCAAATAAATCCAATCCATTGGAGAAAATGATGAAAGAACCAAGCTTAATGAACACGGTTTTGAAGAAATTTTGATGAAGATAACCTTGTATCTTGAGGAATCTTGTCAAGGAAGATATCCACGATGTTTGTGATCCAAAACCCTAGTTCTATATCAAGAGTGATGAGAGAATCAATTGAATAAAATGAATGAATGATTTATGATGTAAATGCATATGATGTTATGAATAAACATATTAGGGGTAAAAAATGGAGTATGACAGCGTCCGAGGCTAATTATAACTTGTTGTTAGGACGCAAATAGATTCATGGAATAGGTACAGTTCCATCTACTTTGCACCAAAGGCTGTCGATTTGGCGCCCTAGATGGAATAATGGAGAATATTGAGGCCAATCAGAGTTACTTCACGACCGATGTCAATGTGGTGAACAAGAAGAATTTCGACCGAAACCTGGCCAAGATTCCTCCATGTTTACCCAAAAGATTCTACCTTTGCATCTCACTCAGTTGCTATGAATTTCCTAACTTTGCACCCAACTCATGGTTTTGTCTAGGACTAAGAGAAGGTGGATAATTACTCCATCACGGAGGGGCAAGTCGATCCCACTGGGTGGAAAGACGAAGATCATAATAATGCCCGAGTCGAGCGTGCTGGCAAGAATTCCGGCTTATTGAGCTGAAAATAGGTTAAAATCGGCCTTAGAGGCTGATGAGTTACAAAACATGGCTCCTGAAGCCATCTTTGCCAAACAAAAAAGTGGCCAAAACGGCCAACCAACAACTTCAGAAAGATGGAGGCTTAATTGTATCTGTGATGAAGAGCCTTTGGGGTTTAAAAGAGACCTAATAGATTTTGCTTATAAAAGGCAGGCACAAGATCCTTTGGAGGAAGTCGATTTAGGAGATGGGACGATTAAACAACTTACCTATGTGAGCGCTAAAATCTAAAGGCATAGAGATAAATTAGAACAAGACTAAAGCGATCATAAACACACAGACACCGACAACCAAGAAGAAGTTGCAGTTGCTCTTGGGAAAAGTAAACTTTCTCAGGCGTTTCATATCAAACTTGAGTGGTAAAACATTGGCGTTTTCGCCATTACTTCGACTTGGGAAAGAAACGGAGTTTAGATGGGTGGGGTAAAGAACACCAGGAGGTATTTGACAATATAAAGCAATGTTTAATCAAACCGCCCATTTTGTTGCCACCCAACATAAACAAATGCAAGAAGTTGTATATTTCAGCGTCAGAATATACACTACACAGTATGTTAGCCCAAGAGGACGAAGATGGCATCGAAAGAGCCATTTATTACCTCATTCGTGCCAAGAATGATGCTGAAACTAGGTATAATGCTATATAAAAATTATGAATTTGTTTGTACTTCTCATGTAATAAACTTGAGCATTATATGAAACCAGACAAAGTTTCTGTGTATTCTCATTTTGATGCTGCCAAACACATGTTGTCGAAACCAATTCTACATAGTTGCATCGGTAAATGGGCATTAGCCTTAACTGAATATTCACTCACATACGTTCCTCTAAAGGCCTTGAAGGGTCAGATTGTTGCTAACTTTATTGCCGACCATTTAGTTATTGAGATGAATGAATGTTACATAATTACGAGGCCTTGGTAGTTATATTTTGATGACTCCAAACATAAGCATAGAGCAGGCGTTGGTATTTTCCTTATGTCGCCAGAGTAAATCCAAAGTCGGTTTAAGTTTAAAATCAAGGACGATTGTTCCAATAATGAGGTGGAATATGAAGCCATAATAACAGGACTTCAGATTTTATTAGAACTAGGAGCAAATGATGTAGAAATAAAAGGGGATTCCGAGTTGGTCGCGCAACAAATGAAGAGAGAATACAAGTGTATCAAAGAAAACTTAATGATATGCTTCACCACCGCATTATCATTAATAACTAAGTTTGATAATGTGTCGATTAGTCATGTTCGTCGCATCGAAAACCAAGACGCGAATGAATTAGCCCAAGTAGCCCCAGGATATAGAATTCCCAGAGAAAAATTAGAAGAATTAATAGAAGTAAAAGACAAATTGATGTCTGAAAATCTCTCACCAGGAGAAGCGTCAACCTCAAAAACTAGAGGGACAAGAGTAGAAGTAGTCCCATATTTATTAATAATTGTTATATAAGACATAAGGAATAGACATAATATATATTCACATAAGCAAGGCATCACACATCATCATATCTTCATGTTATACTCACACCTCCACAACTTCATCAATACACATACACATATCATCATACACAATGTATCATCAAACATCATAAATAAATCATTATGCAATGTCACATAGAATGTAAATGCACTTCATTTTACTCATGCATGTGGTACCAAAACTTCCCTAATGACTCGGTCATCGTTATCTCCAAAAATCCCCACCATAGGATTGATTCCCGCTTGGAACTAGAGCACTTCACTGTTGCACCCAATCCACACTATATGATTATTTCCTTCAATGGACAACCGTCCTATCATCTTCACTGGACCGAAGTCCTAACTTCACTGGACCTAAGTCCTAAAATACTCCATGAATGCAATGATGCGCAACAACATATTTAATGCGACCACGACTAGTCAACACGCATCACCATTCATGATTCATCGCAAATATTATATATCATCATATTAATCAAAACAACATAATAAAATCATCATAGTAATCAACTCAACACCGTAACATCATCATCATAAACAAGGCATCATCATAAACAAAACATCATCATAAGTAAAACATCATCATAAACAAAACATCATTGTGATTCAATGCAGGTAACCTAATTCTATTCTAACATAGGTCTCGTAGATATACTCCTTAATCCTCATCTTTCTCCACATAATTAACTTTCATTTCATTAACTATCCAACGCTTCGTACAACACCTCAATCTGAGCTCTAGAACTAAAGTTATGATCACTTTAATATTTCCAACTTAGACAACCAATTCTGCCTTCTGTCGCCTGGCGACACACTTCCATCGCCTGGAGATGCTACCTTCTCATCACACTTTTCCTGAAGACACTACGGGCGACGAATTAGAGAAACTAGCTCCAATCTGCCTTCCTTCGCTCCCACCTTTGCTTGGCGAAGCTCCGTCGCCCGACGACACATCCTCCATCGCTCGACGATCTTGTGAGAACAGGATTATCCTATTGTGATTTCCTGCATAAACCAATCCAATTCGCTCGCAATTTTATCATGTTACAGGTCCTAAAACACCATATAATCACATGGTTTCATCATCTATCAATTACCTATAATTCTATACTCAATATACATCAATTATACACCATTACTCATCATCAACTCATCAATTTCTCGTCAAACAACACCAAATCACCATCCACCAAAATCTAAGGAAATCTACCAATCATCTAAACCTTAAATAAAATATAATAACAATGATAAAACTCCTCTTACCTTAAGATTATAGAAATAATTCAACTTCTAATTGGTTCTCTCCCAAAATCTCTCGCCTCTTTATACCCTAGCCTCCTTTCTCCACAACATCAGCTTCTTTCTCCCAATTCTGCGATTGTTCCATAATGACTTTCTTTTCCCCTAATTCCTTGTATAACCTTTAGACCTCTGTTGTACCCCAAAATTTTCCCTCCCATTTTTCACTCAAGATGCTATCCCAAGGTTTCTCAAACACTCGATTTGGCTCAAAAGTCTATCAAGCAGATTCTCTTCCTAGGAAAACAATCAGCAATTAGGGTTTGGCGTTTCTCAAATAAAATTGAGCCCTCAAGGTTTCAAATGATTTTCATTGGTCTTCATATCTCCTCAGAGTTGTTTAAACCAGTTTTCAAACCTCACAGTGCAAGTTTGCTCAACCAATAGTTCAGATGACTGAAAATAACTACAGCAACCCCAAAATCAATCCTTTTGGCGAGAACAAATTCAAACGATTGTAACTTCTTCATTATTCATTATTTTTGAGCGTTTTTCCTTGCGTATGATTCTCCATGATGCCACCTCAAATTTCTCTTCACAAGTCAAGAGCTGATTACGCGTAGAAGATCACAAAAATTCAAATGCGTTAGAAGTCGCATCTTAAATTTTGACCTAATTTCAAGTAACGGCCGTCTGATCGTTATTTCTTCAAATTACAAGACCTTGAGATGTTTATTTTTGCATATTGTCCTAAGTGATGTCATCAACAAATTATCTCCAAGGATCTAGGCCGAATTATGCTTAAAAGGCTATGAAAAGTTGATGAAAACGCTATGGGTCATTTTGTGATTTAGAATGTTCATAACTCCTAAGTTTAGTTCTTGTCCTAATCGTTTCCTCAAGACTTTTGTTTTATGATG